ACTCCAAATAAACCCCTAAACCCCAAACCCTAAACCTTAAACCCCTAAACCCTATACCTAAACCCTAAAGCTTAAACCCCTAAACCAAGGTCTAGAGCTTCACGCTTAAGGGAAAACGGGATCAAGGATCTTCGAAGCTCAGGGGACCCGGCAAGGGCTAGGCTTTAAGGTTGAGGGTTAAGGCTTCAGGTTTAGGGTTTGGGGTTTAGAGGTTTAGAGGTTTAGAGGTTTAGAGGTTTAGGGTTTAGGGTTTAGGGTTTTGGGTTTGGGCTTGAGGTGTAAAACTTGTCAGAACGAGCTTTGCAAGCACCGTCGTTGGGAACATCTTGTTGGCAACCCCGCTTGGGTTCCCTCATTCCCCAGGCCTGAACCCTCGGTTTAGGGTTTAGCGTTTAGGGTTTAGGGTTTAGGGTTTAGGGTTTAGGGTTTAGGGTTTACCCTAAAAGCCGTGACTGGGTAGCGTTCAGGGCGCAAAAGTTGGAAACCCAATAGCCTCAATCCTTATAGGAGTAATGTATAGGCCCGAAACCCGAAACCTACACCCTACACCCTAAACCCTAAACCCTATAACAGGGACTCCCACCCTAGAAGCAATGACTGGTTAACTTTTAGGGCGCGAGGGCTTCGGCTGTCGGGGAGGTGGTCCCTCGCCAGTCGACCCGGCAGTCAGCAGCTGCGGTGAAGGCCCCTCGCAATAATATAGGGGCCTAAAAAAAAACTGCCTAGGTTTAGAGTTTCGGGTTTAGGGGTTTTTACCTACACTATTTTGGGGGCTCCTCATTGTAGTTATAGTAGAATGGGCCCCAACACCCTATTCTGATTATTCAGGCCCCTCGCAATACCACAGAGTCCCCGAAGCCTCGACAAGGCATCCGAGCCAGGCTTCAGGGTGTTGGCTTTGGGGTCTCTGAATTCAAGCTTTTAGTTAAGGGCGTAGGGTTTAGAGTTTATGAGTTTAGGGTTAGAGTTAGGCCGAAGTACCCCAAGCCCTAACCCGTCTCCGTCTCAAGCCTTCCGTCAGTTCCTAGTTACTACGGTTGGTGATATAAATCTTGCATTACCCATACTAAGAAATAGCCATAATTTGAAATGCTTCGCGTCGTCCGCCTCGGCCCGGCCGTATTATGTTGGTAGGAAGACATGATGCAAGGTTATGTTTTAGTACTCCTGTGTACATGGTAAAGTATACAAGTCGCGGCAACCTGAGCAGTCAAGCTGATCAAGCAGTCTGGAGATGGCGAGAAGTAGATATGGTTTCGTGGTATTTTGATAGCATATTGATTTGGGACTGCATGGGGATACGAGCGCAGCTTCAGCCCTCATCCGAAGCCTCACTTCTTTCAGACACGAGACTTTTCATCTGCAACGCAAAGGGGAGGGTTCGGGAACAGGGTGTGGGGGGGGGAGGCCGGGGCGGGGGGCCGGGATAGGGGGATGTAGAAGGGCCCGCAAAAGGGCTGGCGGGGGGGTGGGAGAACTCTGAGAGGGAATCCGAATAGAATTTCCATAGTTCAGGCTCGAAAGCCTCCAGAAGAATCCCTACACCCTAAACCCCTAAACCCTAAACCTCTAAACGCTAAACCTTTAAACCCTAAACCCGCAAGTCCTAGACCCCTGCACCCTGCACGTTGGATCCCAAGCCCAGATCCAGGATTGGAATGTGTTGATCACGGCCCGTGGCCGACACAACGGCTGGGAGGCGGCGCTGGCAGCCGCCGCAGACATGCAGAGGCGAGGAGCCCTTCAGCAATAGTAGACCTAGCAGAATTATATGTGTAACGGGAAGTAGTAGCACTTAAGAGTTGTAAGAAACCCTAAACCCTAAACCAGAAATCCTAAACCCTATGAATGGCGAAAAAGGAAACTTAGAAGAGTCTTGAGGCGCTGCTAAAGCTGCGGGTGTGCCGTTTTTGAGCTTTGCGCTTTCATAGGTCCACCAACCCTAAACCCTAAATCCTAAACCCACAACTACGCTTCGGTGTACAGCACCTGTCCGATGTTTCCTGCGTTCGAGGCCTTCGGGATTTGGACTTGAAGTTTCAGGCAGTATAGTAGGTCCTTTGATTTGACCGGTCATGACAAGTGGTCACTCTTGTGTTAGTAATAAAGACACCAAAACGTGATGGCTGTGTTAGTAATAAAAAAACCAAAACGTGATGGCTGTGTTAGTAATAAAGAAACCAAGATCTGTACATGAGGCCCCTTTAGTGTTCATAACCAGAGCAGCAGGTGCATGTCGGAGCTCTTGAAAACAGCCTAAACCCTAAACCCTAAACCCTAAACCCTAAACCCTAAACCCTAAACCCTAAACCCTAAACCCTAAACCCTAAACCCTAAACCCTAAACCCGGCACTGACAGTACCCGAAGCCTCTCTTGTTCTGTAGCGGAGAAGTCTTGTCGAAGTTGCTTGAAGCCGCTGTCAAGGAGTTGTTTCAGGACCCATGGAGTCATAATGTAGGGTTTAGGGTTTAGGGTTTAGGGTTTAGGGTTTAGGGTTTATAATGTAGGGGGCTTAATAATTAGAATAGGGTTTTGGTGTAAATTTCTACTATAACTATACAGGAGTGCCCCATACCCTGGCTCATCTAGCTATGCAAAGCTCGGGATGCTTCCCAAACCCTAAACCTCAAGCTCCAAATCCTAGATCCTAAACCTTAGTAACTTAAATATCCTAAACCAGGAACCCTAAACCTCAAGCCTTAAACCCCAAACCTAACCTCGAACGCGAGACCCTAAATGCTAAACCTCAGGCTCCAAAACCTAAGCCCTAAACTCCTAAACGGTCACTGCACTTAAGAGAACACCCTAAACCCGAACCGTCTCGGCCCCCAGGCCAAAAAGAACCTTCAGTTCCTAAACCTCGGAGGTTCAGAGGCCCCAGAAAGTAGAGTTTAGGGTGTAGGGTTTCTTGTTAGGGTTTAGGGTTTAGGGTTTAGGGTTTAGGGTTTAGGGTTTAGGGTGTAGGGTGTAGGGTTGAGGGTTCAGGATTTAGGATTTAGGCTGGGTTTAGGGGTCTGTGCAGGCACGGCTTGGCGTGGGATCACTTCACCTTCGGTGGCCTCATCGCAGCATGCTCCAAGAGGAGAGCCCTAGGACACTTTTGGGTTCTGCTTGTTACCAGGGTTTGGTGTTTAGGGTTTAGGGGTTTAGGGTTTAGGGTTTAGTGTTTAGGGTTTAGGGGTTTAGGGGTTTAGGGTTTAGGGTTTAGGGCTGAATGTAGGGGCCGAAACAAATTAGCAATACTATTTTGGGGGGTTCCTTTTTAGAAGTGTAGTATAATGGGCCCCAAAACCCTATTCTAATCACTGAGGCCCCTATATTCGTGGTGTTGGGGCTTCACGGCTTTGGGTTCAGGGTTTAGGGTTTAGGGTTTAGGGTTGAGGGTTCAGGGCGGATGGCGTTTATGGCAATTGAAGCCTGGGGGTTAACGGCTGAGGGATGCAGGTCTACGGATTCAGCCAACCGAGGTTGCTCGAAATTCTAGACCCTAAACCCTTATAGTTTCCACATGACATTTTCGGTATAGTGCATGCGGTGACTTTGACCCTGCACCTGTGTTTTCATATTGCTGATAAGGTTTTTTGGGGGTGGAGGTATTGACAATGTCGGAAGCGCCGCATTTTCGCGGATGTTTGCTTCGTGGCGGCGCTGGGGGTCGAAGCTACCGTCGGATTGCGCAGCTGCTACGTTCCTTTTCGGGTAGTGTTTCCGTGATCGAGGCAGACATACAGCGAGGACCACGTTGGTGTGATGTTCCCCTCACTCCTCAACCTCAAACCCTGAACCCAAAACAGTAACCCCAACCCCAAAAAGAACCCCAACCACCCCAAACCCTAAACCC